GACTTGGTTATTCCAGCTTGCAGGACTGGCCTAGGGTAATTTTTAGAGGGGTTTTAATTATATTTTAATTGGACTATGTTTAAAATATTTCTTTTTAATTAATTTTAAATCTGTATTGTCATTTATGTATTTTAATTGATTGTCAGCCGCCCTGAGTCCGCGAGGAGAAGGGCGGGATATAAATTTAAATATAATAATATAATAATAATAATTATGAGAAGTGATAATACTGCTTTATACTGTACTTGTGAAACCACACTTGGAATACTGCATACCGTTCTGATCACCAATGATACAGAAAAGATGCTGAGACCCTAGAAAGAAGAGAAAAGCAACAGAGATGATAAAGGGTCTGGAGGCTAAATCATATGATGAACGGTTGAGGGAGCTAGGGTACTCTTCTAGCCCAGGGCTTTTCAACCAGTGGTACGGGTACCACCTGTGGTACATTGGCACCTGGCAGGTGGTACGCGACCATCCCAGAAAAGTGGTAGCGGGGATGGCTGAAGCTGCAGGGCTGTCAGGGCTCAGCGGAAGCACCAGGATCAGCGCCAGGCTGATCATGGCGCTTCCGCTGAGCCCAGAAGAAGTGCCAATCAACTGGAATGTTGCAGCATCTCCAGGGTCTTGTGATTTACATTCAGATGCTTGGCAACTGATTCATATTTATGACGGTCACAGTGTCCAGTGTCCCCCAGCAGACAGGGGGAATAAAAACCAAACACACCCCCACCCCACCCCCACTGCCAATCCTCAACAGAAATGCTCACAACAATGAAAACCTCGGACAGGAGGAAGAGCACCGCCGGGCGGGCAGGCAGGTGTCTTGCTCGGCTGTGCCTTGGGGGGCACTTTTTCCCGTGCCACTGTAACTTCGAACAGTCATTAAGTGAACTGTTGTAAGTCGAGGACTACCTGTACTTTATCACTTTTTTCCTTTTTTTTTTTTTTGGTCATCAAGTTTTTGACACCTTGCTAGGCGACGGGTGGTACTCGGATACTGCCATATCCTAAAAGTGGTACAATAGGTGAAAAGGTTGAAAAGCCCTGTTCTAGCCCATCGAAGAGAAGGACTTTGGGGGCGGGGGAACATGATAACTGTCTTTCAGTACTTTAAAGGCTATCACAGAGAAAAAGGGATTGACTTATTCTCCAAAGCACCAAATAGCAGACAAGAAATAATGGGTGGAAGCTTGTTAAAGAGAGATCCAACCTAGAATTAAAGAGAATTTTTCTGACAGAACAATTAATTAGTGGAATAGCTTGCCTCCTGAAACTGTGGGTGCTCCATCACTGGAAGTTTTCAACAATAGACTGGCAACCTTTTGACCAGGATGGTATAAGGTCTCCTGCCTTGAGCAGGATATTGGATTAGTAAATCTCCAAGGTCCCTTCCAGCTTATGATTCTATGTTCGCCTAGATCCTCATTAATGATGTTCTAATAAATTGTACCCGATCTGGTGCATCTGATTTTAATTTTAGCTATGTGAGATAGAGATAAATGTATGTTTGTGAGGGAATATTTACTTTTTTCACAAGCAAAAGTTGCCTACATGTTTATTTAAATTACGCAATGGTCTATAAAGTGTAAACGGTGCATGATATTTGTTATATCTCCTTTATCAATATTATTGAAATGATCAAATATCTGTATATTAAAATAGGTTGAAAAATTCAATGGGATATATTTATTTTTTCACATGATTGTAAACCTGGACAGTAAGTGGTATCAAGTTCATTCTCATCGTGCTATAGACCATGAATCTAAACATGTAGTACTATTGCCTTATAGCTTTGTAGAACCTTTTTTATAGTAAAACATGATTAACTTGTGCAACTTTGCAAATGGCTATTATTAGCTTAAAATATTTTTCTAGCTTTCCTTCCCACACTTATTACTCATTATTCAACTGCTTAAAACAATAAGTTATTTCAGCTAGAAAAAAATACATCCTGCCTTTTAATCTAAAAAGTCTTCTTAATTCTGACAAGCACACCTACAGCTATTTACATATTGAATTTACAGCAGTTCCTTTGCCCTACTGTATTTCCTGTCTCAATAGTGTTATTTTTAGCTATCCATTTCAGGAAGAATACTTTCATTTTTTTATGCTTTTGAAAGATTATTTATTTGAAATGTGATATTTACTTTCTTTAAAGGAAATCTGAGATATTAGCTGCAATTTGATACAGTCTGTAGTAGTAGGCAGCCCCTAGCCAACCTTGTCTGATTTTAAAATGCTAAGGAGGCTAAAAGCTTGTTAGTACCTGGATGGTAGACCATCGGGAAGAACAGAACTTTCGACCAGATTGGGAAGTCTCATCTTAGAGAAGAGCAATAGTAAATCTTTTGTGTTGTATTCTTATCAAGCAAACCAGATTGACATGTTTATATATTTACTAGGAATTAACATTATCCTAAAGGAGCCTTTATTTTTTGTAGATATCTGAGGGAAAGTTCCATTGGACTCAGTGGGATTTACTTGTGAATAAGTATGGTGATGCTTAAAAATTTGTGAACCTTTTTGAAGTTTCGGTGTTTTTGCATATAGCACAATCTGTTCTCCACACAACTGCTAAAACTAGATAAAGAGAACCCAGTTAAACAAATCAGTCAAAAATATTATACTTGTTCATTGAGGAAAATTATCAAAGCTACATATTTGTGTGTGGCAAAAGGATGCAAACCTTTGCTTTCAGAAACTGGTATGCCTGTCTTGGGCAGCAATAAATAAACGCAACTAAATGGTTTCTGAATGTTGATTAGCCCTGCACATTGGCTTGGAGAAATTTTAGCCTATTTCTACTTACAGAACAGCGTCAACTCAGGGAGTTGGTGGGTTTCATTGTTATGAAATTCCTGCTTTAGCTCCTACAGTAATATTTCTATAGGATTAATGTCAGGACTTCGAGTTGGCATTCTAAAACATTAACTTTCATATGCTTTAACCATTTTTTGATCACAGGACTTGCGTATTTTGAATCGTTGTCTTGCTGTGTGATCCACTTCCCCTTGAGCTTCAGTTTATAGACTAATACCATGACATTTTCCTCTAGAATTTGCTAGTGCAATTCGGAATTCATAGTTCCATCAATGATGACAAGCCATCCTACTTCAGAGGCAACAAAGCAGTCCCAAAGCATGATACTACCACACCAAGTTTCACAGATGGGATAAGATTCCTGGGCTGGAATACTGTATTTATTTTTTGCAAACATTTTTCATTGAAGCCAAAAAGTTCTATTTTGGTCTCATTCATCAACAGAACATTCTTCCAGAAGCCTTCTGACTTATCCAGGTAGTATTTTGCAAAGTGTAGATGGCAGCAGTATTCTTTTTGGAGAATAGTGGCTTTCTCCTTGCAATCCTGCCATGCACACCATTGTTCAGTCTGATTATCATCCAATTGAATGAAACATCTGACTCTAATTTCTCCTTCAAATGAACTGATAATCCTAGATGTTCACATACTTTTGCTACATACAAATGTGTAGCTTTGGGCCATTTTCTTTAATAAATCATGTTTTTGACTCATTTGTTCAATTGAATTCTCTTTATTTCAAAATGTGAGTCAAACATGACTGTTTCTCGACTTAAAAATAGAGAAACAGTCATGTATAGCTCACATTTATGCAGAAATATGGAAAATTCAAACAGCTCACAAATATTCTAGCGCTATTGCAGTACAATTGCATTACTTTGATTCAGAAGAGTTGCTTTGGAACATAAACCCATAATCTTTCTGAGATAAATTAAAACAGAATCATCTTTTTCCAGGATCACATGGCTACTGCAGTTGTGGACTTTTGCTGCAATTGTGCAGTCCTGAAAGTTCTGAAAATAGTTGTGGCTGCAAAAAGGTGCAGCTGCTCCTATTCGTTTCATATTTAAACTAAATCAAAGCCCTGGGAGACAAGATTATATTATTCCTATAATGAAATTATACCCTCCTCCTCTGTAAAAACTATTAAGATCACTAACCCCCAAAATGATTAAGGTCTGACCTAGGATGGTTGTTGAAATATGGTAAGAGACTGGCAGACTTTTCATGGAGAAAGCACCCTTGGTGTGCTTTCTGTCTTCTAACTCCGTGATATATGAACCCCAAGACCTGATCATTAGGTTCTTGATGGTCCTGGTCTCAGTCTACTGCTGCTTAATATCAGATTGGCTAATAATAAGGGCTCTCATTCAATATCTTATTTTGAAGGAGAAGGCCAATCTGGTTTAAATTACTGAAAGTTGAGGGACCATAGAAAGAAGTCATCTGGTTTTATAAACATGTCTTCCTAGGATGCAAGCATCAGCTTTAGTTCAAGGGCAAGGATGAAAGAATAGCTGCTAGATACCTATTTAGAGTTATCTATTCTAAAAATCTTATTGGTGAGTTAGGAAATGGATGTAATTTCTGCATCTCTGCAGTATCCTTGTCTGAACTGCTCAATTCAGTTGTTGGGCTGTTGGTAGACTGTGGCAGGCTTATGGTTCCAGGAACTTCATGGACTTGGATTCTGATTGTGCAGGTTCTATGCAGTTGGCTGAGACATGATTTGACATGGTTAACTGGGAAGAATTTAATCCTGTTAGGCTTGAAAAAATGGATGGGATATTTAGAGCTATGAGTGCATTCACTTGTAATTTCAATCCATGTCATTCCTGGTTAGTTAAGACCTCCTGGGAGGTAGAATGTGACTTGGGTCCAAGTGGTGGTGAATACTTTTTTCAGATAGAGGGAGAAGTCTCACCCTATGTTTAAGGAAGCAGTAGTTTACCCTCTCCTCAAGAAGCCAGTCTTGAATCTGACCATTCTGGGTAATTTCTGGCCTGTCTCCAACTTTCCCTTCTTGGGGAAGATCATTACAGTTTATGCTTAGGAAAAGTCATATGGCTGGACCCAAGAAATGTGCTGGCAGTCCTTGTTTACTGACCACTCATTCAGTAACCCTTCAAAGTTGGAATGGAACTGAATGAGTGCCATTTACAATCAGTCTTCACCGTTCTCACCATGGCAGTGCCTCCATAGTCACCTCCACCCAACTTAGTGTCCAGGAGTGGTATTTTTCATAGGATCACTTTTTTTCTTGGCATTTATGTCTTTGCATGTTGTTGTTTTTTATGATTTTAAGATTTCATTTTACTATGTAGTTTTTTATTGTTTCATTATTATTGATGTGCACCACCCTGAGTCATGTGCTGAATAGGGCAGCCATGTACTGTAGATAAATAAATGAGGGAAATCGCTACCCTTAATTCCAACCAGCTAATTTTTATGATTAGTTTGAAAGTATACTCTGTAGTGCAGCTTCTTTTATAGAACAAAGTTGTAATTTTATATACTAATGCAAATACGAATGGCAAAAGTGAATTAAAAATTGATACTATATAAACTCTCCTAACAGTAATTTACTTGTGCCTAATCCTCTGGTACTAACTATAGTCTGCATTGTAAATATCGTTTGAATGCTGGTTTTGTTGCTTCATTAGCTCCCTTTTTCTCTTTCTCTCTCTCTCTCTCTCTTTTATCCTGCCTTTGCTGATGCTATCTTCTGTCCAGCTCCATCTTTTGACAACTCCCTGTATAATACTTCACTTCCTGAATATGCCAGTTGCCAGCCTCCTTCAGCACCACCTCCTTCATATGCTAAAGCAATGTCAGAATCTACCCCGGACTATGCTATAGTGACTTCTACACAGTCGATTTCCTCCCCCCCTACACCACCACTAAGGCACTCTGCATCACGTTTTGCTACGTCTTTGGGCTCTGCCTTCCACCCTGTTCTTCCCCATTATGCTACAGTTCCTCGTCCAGTAAATAAAAATTCTCAGCCACCTTCACCTGTAAACCCCCCTCCCTCTTTGCCCCCAACTACCAAGTCAACTACTTGGTCAGCTTCTAGTTTTGCACCCCTTCCCCCTTCACCTCCTGTAATGATTAGCAGCCCTCCAGGCAAAGCCACTGGCCCCAAGCCTGTTCTCCCTATTCCTGTTACTGTTCAGTTATCTCATATGTCCCCCACTGCACCTAATGGTCTTCCGGAATTGACAAATTATTCAGTTTCTTCACCACCTACCTCAGGTCCAGCACCACTACCACCATCTTCCTTTCAACCTCTCTCAGTCTCTGGAGTTCAAGCTTCTTCTCCAACCTCCCCTAATGCCTCAGCTCCCTCATCCAAGCCTAGTGTTCTCCCTTCTCCCTCTGCAGCTCCCCCTGCCTTTGTTGAGAACTCTCTAAACTCTATGCTGGGAGACTCCTCTGCTTCTGAGCCAGTCTTGCAGACAGCCTCTCAGCCGGCTGAATCTACGTCTCAGCAGGGTAAGGTTTCTGATGTTCATACTAATTAACTAATAAAAAAATGCACTCAAACTAATTTGCATCCCAAACTTGATTTATCCTGAAGAACTAACACTTTTAAAGCTCTTCTAATATCCTTTTTTTTTTTTTTAGCAAAATGTTAAATGTATCAGTGTTTTACTTTGGAAAAATACTTTGGAAGAATGGTTTGCTTATTTGTTGAAATAGTTTCTAAACTGTTATTTGTGGAGAAGGGATTTACTGAAAGTAAACATAAACTTGGTTAAATGAAAAATTCTGACAGTGAATTGCAGTTTTCGTACTGTAATATTTTTCCTTAGAATATTTCTTTTGAGAGTCTTTCCATTGATACTCCATTGGAAATAGGGTGGATCAGAAATGGAGATAGATAGACAGACAGACAGACAGACAGACAGACAGGCAGGCAGGCAGGCAGGCAGGCAGGCAGATAGATAGGCAGATAGATAGATAGGCAGGCAGGCGTATTAATTCATGCCATCTGTGTATATGGATAACTTTAAGCTCCTCTTATTTAATATATTTAACAGAAAATTCTTAGGAGTCTAACTGATGTGTTTTTATAAATCAGTTTTGTAACAAATTAATTGTTTTTCTATATTTACCCGAAAGGAAGATGATGGGTTTTTCCCCCCCTCCAAATGGGATTGAAATGAGAGAGTTATCTTACATTTACAGTAAATTTTGTAATAGAGGCAGAAGAAACTCTTCAAGAAGGAACAGGTATGAAGACCCTGGTCACTGTACAGAGTGCCTGTAATGGAAAGCCTGTCTGCCATGAGTTGATATCCTGATTAAAAAAAAAACAGAATTATCAAATCATGAAGAGAACTTCCACATAGAGACAGGCTCTCCATTATAGGCACTTGTCTTCAAACATTATTCCTAATACACAACAAATCTCTCCCCACTACTGCTACACAGAGTAGACTAGGTGAAACATCTTTTTTTCGCATAATAGCAGCTCATGCGTGCTTATTTATGAGTAAGCACTATTAAACTTTGTGGGACTTACCATAGGGTGAACATATATAGGCTTATGCTTATAAAACATAGCTTCCTTCAGATAAATTCTTTTTTTTATATATGAGTTTGTGGAATTATGTGGGATGGAAAATGGAGAATCAATCAATTAATTTAACAAATAGGGGGCCTCTTTTACATATAATTAAATTTAATTAATCATCATTAATATGGATTTTTTTGGGGGGGAGAGGAAGAACAGATTCTGGCCATTGTGTACATATATACACAAATATACACAAATGTCACATGTACAAATCTGTTGGTGAAAATAAATCTTGAGGATTTTTTGCCTTTGAGGTTGTCAACTCTAATAAAATAAGGAAATGGTGGAGTGTCCAAAATGTTTCCATGTGCTTAATTTTTCTTCCATTTAATTATTTTTTGGAGAAATATCTAATTCAAGGTCATATTCCTATCGGGTAAATATCACTATGTAGGATTATTTTTAGATAAACATCTAAGGAATCTCTTTTTTCCAAATAAGTCATAATTCAAGATTAGGCAAATTCTTAAGAGAGTTGTGATAATCTGTATTTCCAGGCAAAATTATATCCTAATTATAGAATATTTTTGTTTTCATTAATGCTGTTGGGGAAAATAATCATTCCATCAACAGATTGAAATGTTCTAACACACTAATATATGTTTTATTAATACTTCTGGAGGAAAATCCAAAAGCATGAAATGTGAATAGAAATGTAAATATTACTTTCTGGTATTTTCTATTTAAAACATGCTTAAATAATAAAATTGAAGGAATGGAAAATGCATTTTTTAGGTATACAAAGAAGGAACAAATTATATTATATTGCTGTAATTCAGCTTAAAAATAGACCTATATGTTTTAACTATAAAAGCTTTTCCATTGTTATACTGGACATAAATATTATTTTCATCATTATTCTCTTTAAGAAATTTTGAGTGCTGTTTTTCCAAACTAAATTGTTCATGTTAATTGAAGCATATTAATATGGCTGAATGTTTTTCTGAAATGACACTGACTGGTTTCCTAATGAAAGCCACATTAGGATATATACAGTTTTTTTTTTCATTTTAAATACTAGAGAATTAATTATTTTGGATTTTACTTGGTATCTCAATTCCTGTATTTGGTTTCTGTATGTGTGTATGTATTTTTCACCAGGTGTTACACAAGGACCACCTGCACCCCCTCCCCCTCCCCCACTCCCATCTGGCCCTGTTCAGTCCCCATCAGCAGTTCCACCTCCTCCTGGACCACCTCCTCCTCCTCCACCTCTTCCATCTTTAGGGCCACCTCCACCACCACCTCCTCCCCTTCCTGCTCAGGTTCCTCTTCCACCTCCTGCTCCTCCTCTCCCTGCTACTGGCTTTTCCATGGGAACGATGTATGAAGATTATCGACCTTTAACAGGACTGGCTGCTGCTCTTGCTGGAGCCAAACTCAGAAAAGTATCACGGGTAAGTACAATTCAAATTCAAGTTTTTAAATTCAGTTTAAAAATCTTAGTTTTAGATTTTCACAAAAATGGCAAGAAGTGTCTATAAAACTTTCCATGTTAAGTATAGTATGTTAAGTATACTCTCTCTCTCTCTCTTTCTCTCCGCGTGTATAAATGAATAAATGGGCAGCTTGACAGTATCTTTCCCATATACTTTAGTGTCACTATATGTTCTTAATAATAATGCTACCATCATCTCTGCTTTTCTGCACACTTATAGAATGAAGATTCTCCTATTCCAAGTGGAGCAACAAATTCTGCTTCACCCAAAACAGATACTAGTCGTGGAAATGGGCCACTGCCACTTGGAGGAAGTGGATTAATGGAAGAAATGAGTGCTCTGCTTGCAAGAAGGTAAGAATTTAACTATAGTGTTTTTTTAATGTATGCACCTTTGAACAAACTTGTGATTCTTGATGACTATCTGGAGTAGTTAGTGTAATACTTTTGGGAAGTTATTTTTGGAGGTAGTTGTCATTGTGTTCTTTCTAAGGCTGAGATACTAGCCGAAAGTAATCCAGCTGGTTTGCATAAGGCAGGATTAGAACACACTACCTCCTAGTGCCTTTAACCCCTACACAAAACTGGGATCCAACTAAATTTTCACAGAACTAAAAGTGATATTAGCAAGACTTGCTCTTTTATCACTTTTCTTATCAGAATTTATGTTAGAACAGATGAATAAGAGAGTCAGATATTGGCAGATGGTAACCAAATACTCTTTTATCCTTACCTGAAGGAGAAGAATTGCTGAGAAGGGGTCATCAGAAACAGAAACAAAAGAAGAAAAAAGTGTAAGTTGAAAATACTCTGGCAAATTATATGACATTCTGCAATTAAATGTTATAATCATAGAAATTAATCTGTGTAATTGAAAAAATATTTCAAACTTAATAGAGCTTGAGATTTTAGAATTATGATTTTCATGTTGGTTTTGGAATTAGGTGTTTTTCCTTTAGTCACAAATTTAAGCAGATTTGTAAAATATTATATTTTTATCTCATTGAACAGGAAGAACCAGAGCCTTTAGTTCCCAAGCCTCCTTCAACAAGCACACCTGGTAAGTTGTATAAATTGTGTAACATGAGACTGCATAGCTGATAACTTTCTCTTGTACAGTATTGAAATATGTGACATAAATTGTGGTAAATAATTTTGAAGTTGAAGAGATTTTTGCTTATTTTTAATATGGTTCATTTAAGAAAAAAATATATAACTCTGTATCCTTTTGGTTTAAGAAAACAGAATCATAATCTGTATTCCTTTTAATTCAATGCATTTATATATTTAAAGTGTTTATTAAAAGGTTTCTAATAATGGATTTATCAAACATTCAGTGCATGAATCATTTAATCTACAGAACAACTGAGTTGGCAGCCCATTCCCAAAATTTATTTATTTTATTATTAGACTCCAGATGGTTTACAACATAAAAAATCCACAACATAACCCCCCCCCATACCGCTCCCTCACTACCAATGGCAGCAGCAACAAAATGAAATCAACACTTAATTGACTCAATATCCATTCCTGGTCCCCGGGCTAAGGACAAAACCATGTCTTCAGGGCCTTTCAGAAAAGAAACAAGTTGGGGGCCAATCATATCTCAGGGGGGATTATATTTCGATAGAAAAGGGGCAACCAGCAAGAAGATCCTTTTCCATGGTCCCACCAGATATACATCACTAATAAATGGGTCCTGTAACATATCCTGCCTTCCCATCTGCTGGACTAGTTGTACGTAATGGGGGAGAGTGGTCCTTCAAATACTGGCCTCAAGCCATGAAGTCTGCATGCTTCAGAGGTTTTGGACCATTTCATGAATAAAAAGGTCTGGTTGAATCAATGCAAAAAACAAGGCTTTTTGATTTGAGCAGAAATGTATATGGGGAACAGAAAAAGGTTAAAAGGAAGAGGAATGGAATAAAGGAGGATGGTTTTATCTGAAGAGAAATGGTTGATGTCATGGTTCCAACAGACAGAGACAAATAAAACAGAACTCCAAGGCTTGCAAGTTCCTCAAAGAACATGTTTATTGATACAAAGTATCGGCATGTCAAAAGTGAAACTAAGTCTAAATAGATACATAACAATCCCCAATACAAAGTTAGGTAATCCCAACCCTAAAGCTATGCAAACTACTGCGTCCCCCAATACATCTTCTTGGCAGGCTTTTCACGAAACGCCCAGCCTGCAGTCCCAGGAGCAGCCTTCCCACAGGAGAAAATCTGTTTAGTCTAGAAAAGCACCTGCTAAACCCCCCTCCCTTTGTGCTATGTGTCAACCGAAAATGAGTAGGGAAAATGGCTGCAGTCACGCTCATTTTCAAAGTTGACAGTCTGTTCCTCTTCAGAAAAAAAGAGTCTGCAGGGGAAACAAAAATCAGGTTAGGTATGCCCTCGAGGCTAGTGAGGGTATTTATCATAAAACCTTTTTATCAATCTATCCACCTTTACATTTGTACATTTCACCTATGTAGCCTCTGAAAGGGGGTAAACTTTCCACTGGACAAGGTATTGTAACTTTCCTTTGTACAGCCTAGAATCAAGAATACGTTTTATCTCATAATGTGTCTCTTCCTCTACCACCATTGAACCAGGTGGCTCTTTTGGAATAGGTCTTAAAGTGGATTCTGACACAGGTTTCAAAAGACTGCAGTAAAACACCAGGTGAACTTTCCCCAACAATCGTGGAAGTTTTAACTCCACCATCACAGGGTTTATGATTCTGATAATGGGGAAAGGACCAAGGAATTTCGGGCCCATTTTTTTACTAGGTAACTTTAACTGTAGATATTTAGTTGAAAGATAAACTAATTGTCCAACATAAAAAGATTTTTGAGGGGAACGTTGTTGTCTGCTTGCTCCTTGTAAACCTTGGTAACTTTGGTCAGTGCCTTCTTCACGTTCACCCAACCCCCCTGGAAAGATGTCACCCATTGGTCCAAAGTCTGGGAAGTAGGAGGCTCCTGTGGGAACTCCGGCATGGGCACAAAATCTCGACCCGTCACTATTTTGAATGGTGTGAGACCAGTGCTACTGTGCACAGTATTATTGTAGGCTACCTCTGCAAAAGGTAAAAGGTCAGCCCAATTAGACTGTTAGTAATTTATATAACATCTGAGGTACTGTTCCACCATTGTGTTAGCTTTCTCAGCAGCTCTATTAGTATTCGGATGAAAAGCAGATGAAAGCCCCTGGGAGGACCCAATCAGTTTAACAAACTCCCTCCAGAACTTTCAGTAAACTGGACCCCTCTGTCAGAAATAATTCTCTTTGCGGCACCATGGAGTTGGCATATGTGCTTCAGAAACAGTTTGGTTAGCTTCTGGGCAGAGGGAAGTCCTGAGCAAGCAATGAAATGTGCCTGTTTGGAAAATAGATCAATCAAAGCCCATATCACAGTGTTTCCCTTGCTCTCAGGTAATTCTACTATAAAATCCATGGCTATTTCTTCCCAAGGCTGAGAGGGGTCGGCCACTTGCTGCAATAAACCTGGTGATTTTCCAGGATGCTTCTCCATGGTAGCACAAGTGGCACAACTTTTTACATAACTCTCAATGTCCTTTTTCATTCTCGGCCACCAGAACTGCCTGCGCACTAGATGTAATGTTTTTAAAAATCCAAAGTGACCCACTTGCATAGCGTCATGACTCCGTTGCAACACCTGGAGTCTGAGGCCTTCTGGGAGGTATAACTTAGAATCTTTCCAAGCTAATACCCCCCTTAAAGTCAATATAGATTTGTTCTTTAAACCAGGAATCAGTCTCTTAAGTTCTCCTTCAATTCCTTTAGCGATCGATTGTCAGGATCAGCAGAGGGTCTCTGTGTGTCCGATCTGGTTGTTATTGGGAAGCAGATTGCGGCAGAGGAATAATGGATTTAATTACTTCCTCTCGGTTGCTCTTGAATTGGAGCATTCTAGACAAGGCATCAGCCAAAAAGTTCTTGCCTCCAGAAAAATATTTTAAAGTGAAACTAAAACGGTTAAAGTATTGAGCCCACTGAACTTGCTTGGGGGGATAATTTGCTGGGGGTCTTGAGAGCCTCCAAATTCTTGTGATCAGTCCATACCTCAAAAATATTTCCCTCCCTCCAAAAAATGACGCCCGGGCCTTGACGTGCCCAGTTGGTTTTTCTCTTTCCCCTCTGGGAGCTCTTCATGGTTTTGTGGCAGAAACTGGAATGCTGGGTTGAGGGTGAGGAGCGGGGCGCTCCACAGCACGATGACCCATCTGACTGCACTGGTAGCACTTGATGGGAGCCTGGCTGGCGCTTGGGAGATGCAGGTGGCTGCAGAGGCTTGGGACGTTGGCCATAGAGGTGTTCCTCTTGGACGTACGGCGGCTTGGGCTCAGTGGTGTTTGACTTTTTGGGGCGGTTCAGTTCGATGTCTAGCACCACTGCCATATGGTAACACTCACGTAATAGAAAAACCTCGAATGATGCAGGCTTGAAGTAAGTCACGATCTAGCCCGTTTGAAGTAATTGACCAGTGACCCGTTCAGTCCACTGCCCCAGCCAATTAGCAACTCTTCTGAATTCACAGACGTACTCCTTTGCGGGGCGACCTCTTTGCCTCAGGCGGTAGATTTCTTTCTCGGTCATCAGGACTTGGGATTCATCTTCAAACTGACCCCTCAGTTGCTCCATGAATAGATTAATGTCGTGCAATTCAGGAGCCCCTTCATCATGGAGGTTGGTCACCCAGTTCCTCCTCTAAATTCGACGCCACAGCATTCACCATCATAGCCCCATCCAGGTAGGCATAAGCATAGCGATCCAAATGAGCCCACACCTGGTTTAGGAAAAAGGTCAACTTCTTGGGATCCCCATTGAAGGTGGGCTTGCTGGGGATGGCTCGAATCTTGGGGCTACCTGCGCCTGCTGCTGGGCTTGGGCGGCTTGCTGATCCTGGGGACGTGGTCAAATCACTCTCCGGACTTCTCTTGGCTGGGCTCCAAGACTGGCATCCTGAGGCCATGACAACGGGCTTAGCTGGGATACAGGGCTCAGTATCATAGCTGGTGGGGGGTGGGAGAAGCAGCACAGGCTCCAGCAGTTGGGCTGGAACTCCGGCGAGGGGGAGGGAGAGATGAGTAGTTTTTGGCATTTCTCTCCAGGGCACCTACCTCCTGGGCAACAGGAATCATATCTTTTACCTCCAGCCGGCTGAACTTCTCCTTCAGTTGTTCGAGCAAGGGGCTGTGGACTGTGACTGAAATCTCCACTCTCCAGAGTCAGCCCATCCCATCGAGCTCTTTCCTTTCTTGCCATCCACAGACAAAGAACCCTGGGACGGCAGCAATAAAAGCTCCTCTCCAGCGGTTACAGGAGTGCTCCTGCGCTGAGGGGCAGCCTCGGCTTGGAAGAGGTCCACTAAGGCTGTAGTTCCTGCCTGCGGTACCAATTTCCCAGGTTGGATCAACCTGGTTTTCGGCCGAGCCCCTGCCAGTGACGCCTCCTGGATGGCTGGAGCGCCAGCTTGTGCTCTGATAGCCTGAGTCCCATTGCCGCTAGCAACAGTTTCAACTTTCTCCTCCATCTCGAGTCTTCACCGAGTCTTTACCGCTCTCCCAAAAGTGAGTGGGTAGGCGGTCGGGGCCCAGCACCCCCAAAAATGAAGTTTTTAGGAGACTTGGTTTAATGTCATGGTTCCGACAGACAGAGACAAATAAAGCAGAACTCTGAGGCTTGCAAGTTCCTCAAAAAATTTGTTTATTGATACAAAGTATCGGCACATCAAAAATGAAACCAAGTCTGAATAGACACGTAACAATCCCCAATACAAAGTTAAGTAATCCCATCCCATAAGCTATGCAAGCTACTACATCCCCCCAATATATCTTCCTGGCAGGCTTTTCACGAAATGCCCAGCCTGCAGTCCCAGGAGCAGCCAATAACCTTGGTTCCCACGGGAGAAAATCTGTTTAGTCTAGCGAAGCACCTGGTAACCCCCCCTCCCTCTGTGCTGTGTCAACTGAAAATAAGTAAGGGAAATGGCTGCAGCCACACTCATTTTCAAAGTTGACAGTTGGAGGAGAATGGAGAAAAACAAGGTACATTCCACTGGTTCTCAGAATGGTTCCAAGTGCAATTCAAGGCATCTGTTTCACCTATAAAGTTTCCTGTGACATGGGATGGGGCAAGGTTATTTGCAGGACCTCCTCTCCCCAATTGTTTCTACCCATTTCATTAGAAACGCACTGCAAATTCCTTCATTGAAAAATATCATCCTGCAAACCCAGAAAGCAGGAGTTTTCTGTTCCTGTGCTTGCCCTATGGACACCCCTCCCTCCAGTGTTTAGACTTGCCCTAGCCTGATGGTTTTCCAAAAAAATTTAAAGACTTTACAGGCATAGAGATTAGGAGTCGGTTAGGAGCTCATGGTTGCTTTTAATTGACTACCTTGGTAGTCATTATCAGTTTTATATATTTATTTTGGTTTTTATTTTGTATGGTGTTCTTACCTGTTGTTAGCTGCCCAGAGTCATTAACAGTGAAAGAGGGCAGAAGGCAGATTGATATAATACAAGGTTCTGGGACACTGGAATAAGCAGTTGAAGAGAGGGTAAAAAGATTAGTTGCTGGGTAAATGGGGGCCAGTAGACCATTGGGATATGCCATAATGGGGACAGTTGATAGAAGAAATAGGAAGACACAAATCAGTCTTGCTCTTCTTGTTCATCTGGATTTTGCTTTGTTCAAAGCTTGGAACAACCAAAGTTTTTTTGGTTTGGCCTACATTTGTTCTACCAAGCAGTGATTTATTCAAAGTAGTACAAAACATTATTCTCTTTAAGCGTGATAATTCTTTTAGAGTTATCCAGTGCATATAAGGCTAAAACTCAGACATTTTATTTCCTGTAGAATTAACAAGAAAGCCTTGGGAAAGAACAAATACAATGAATGGAAGCAAATCACCTATTATCTCAAGGTATTTAACACTTATTTTAAAAGCAATTTATATTACCCACAAATGACTGGAATAGAAGAGTTTTAAGTTAGATTTGATTAATAGCTTGTATATTCAGAACCATAAAGTTAAGAGAAGGAATAAACCATATTTGCTGTTTTGTCTTTTATATTTTTTAAATCATAGAAAATATCCCTTGTGATGTGCTAAGGTATGGAAAGGAAAAACATGCTTTTGGTTTTCTTGGAAACCAGCTATTGAAACATTGGAAATTTTGGAATGAAGCCCTTCTTGAAGATTTATTCAAATTTTGTAGATTTTCTTGCAGACTTATTTTTATTTCTATTTTTATGACATAACCAATTTTACATAGCTTATTTTAGTTGGAACTGGGAAAATTAACCTTTAGCAGTCCATCTATTGTGTACCTCAATCCCCATAATCCCTGGTTAACATGTTCAATTTCAAATATGCATTAAGAAAAACTGTTCAGTTCTTTGGAAAAATTACAGACATGATGAGCAGTGTGGAAATGTCATAATTTATACTGTTTTTCTTTTTAGACCAAAATCTGCATCTTCTGGGCAACCAAATACTAATGGAGTACAGTCTGAAGGACTAGACTATGACAGATTGAAACAGGTAGATATTTTCTGCTAGAAAAAATTTCTAAGCTTAGTATGGCTTATTGTCCACTTTTAAATTAAGCATTTTATTTTTGTATTGAATCAGCAGTGCTTGTGCTAAAAAATATGAAAATATGTTACAATTATCAGTGAATAACCAAGAATTTGAACTATGTACTCCTAAAATGTTACATTGTAAGATCTACAGAAACATTGCCCCCAACACCAAAGACTTAAAAAATGTTTTAACTAGATATCAACATTTGTACAATTTGGGCATGTGAACATACACATTTGTTGGCATATGAATCCTTAGTAAAAGTAAGGAGAATGTTGAAACTTTTAATTTTAATACATTTTAATTAATTTACTTTACATTAGGGAACAGATACTATTTTTGTTCGGAATATATTTGAAAAAAATAAACTTAGTCTTATTCTATTATCACAGGATATTTTAGAGGAAATGAGGAAGGAATTAACAAAACTAAAAGAAGAATTAATTGATGGTAAGTATATAAATTTGTGATTATTTGGTGGAGGGAGGTTCCTATGCAATTCTAGGAATGCATTAGAAGATTGAAAATTCCATTTGTCTCATTTTTTCTTCCTAGTCTTTCACTATCATAATTTCAGTTTTTATTATTTGAATGGCTCAGGTAATGATTTTTCAGTTCCAGTAGGAACTCGCTAAGCTTCGTATCAATCATTTTATTTAATAACTTCATTTCTTAGCTGATTTTTGAAACCATATCTTCCCAAGGTGTAGCTTACAACAAGAAAACAATATAATGGAAACTTATTAATATACAGTAATAATCTATTTTGTCAAATTTATATGACCACTTATCTCACATGAAGTGACATGTTAAATATAAATAATTTTAAGTACAATTTATTATAGATAAAAGTAAATAATATCATAAAAATTAAAAGAAAATTCAGGGAAAAACAAGTCATTATTTGACGCCCCCCCCAAACGATAGAAAGATAGACAAGGGATGCAGTACAAAAACACTTCAATTATGGCTTTGAATGTGATGGATAGAATATTAGATTTGGGCTTCATTCTGAAATAATGGAAAAATGCAATTTGTGGCAAATCAGGCAATATATTTGTACTGTAATTTATATGAAATTTGTGTAGATTACCCAAAAGATGGATATTGTGAACATTTTCATCACTTACATAACTTGGATTTTACAGACAATCCTTCCCCTCAAATGATCTTTTTAACTGATCATTTTATATTTTACCATATTGCAGCCACACTAAGGCCAGCAGAAGCAACAACAGTAATCAGTTGGATTTCCATCATTGATACCCATGAATAGTAATAGCAAATAAATAGATTTCCTAAAATCTTTCTCCCATATATAGTTATAATTATTCTTAGGCAACATAACCCTAAATTTACCTCTCATGTTTTCATGCCTCTTCTATTCAGTTTACTTTACTATGTATCATGAATGGTTGTTTTTATGTTTTTGTCAAATTTCATCAAATTTCAGTTTGATCATAATCTCTAAAACAAACAGTGCTATTTGTCCAAATACAGTGTTCTACAATCTTCCCACTTCATTTTCTATTTACAATAAATCAAACATGTAAATATTGTGAATCACACGCTATAATACAGTAATATTGTGGTGCTATCTGAGCTTTAAGATCTTAATGGACAAGTTTTTCAAACGTATCCGTTCACATCTTTCTTCACCAGTTAACAGACTATTTTTTTTCCCTCCCATTGCTCAAATCAGCAATTCGACAAGAACTGAACAAGTCGAATACAGTGTAGAAAGATTAGGACTAATATGTTTGGACCACTGGTCTTGCACAAAATCAGCTACATTTTGTGAGCTGCTGGAAGATAATGGAAAAATATTCTTGGAAGAAGGAGAAAACAAGATTCTGAACTTTCAGACAACAACATGGTGATACACTATTTCCTTTTGCTGCTGTTTTCTGACTTTCAACAAGATGGAAAATAGTCTTAAATTGTGGCAATGATTTATGCAGAAAATCATAAGCCTGTTAGGCAGGTGCATTGAAATGTTTCATATCAATATTGAAGCTGCATATTTACAGTGTATTAAGTTTTTAAAAAGGAGAAAAACTTAAGGAGGCTTTTCAGAGAGGTTTTTTTAGTAGAGAATTTAGCAAGTGAGATTGATAAACAATTGTATCTCAGGTAGTCTTCCTATCACATTAGATATTTCCTTGATCAAAAACAAAGCATGACTTCAATTCACAGCATAGATACTGTAAGACCCAATATTGATGAATGAGAGATCCAGGATACCATGGTATATTGAATATTGGATTCTTTGGATAAGCAAGCCTCTCTGATTAGCCTTCATGAAGTTTTTTTAAAGAAAAATGCAAATGCTGCCCAGATTATGAAGATATAGATGCCTTCCTAAAATGATATGCTTTACCAAATCTGAGACTTCTCCTGAATACAAATCAATATGATCAAATGTAAATTGTTAGATTGTTATAGACTTACCATAGGTTTTTGAGCTTTTAAGATTTATGCATGCAGACATTTTTGTAACATAAATAACCACAGAGTTGGCTTTTAATTTAAACCATTCTTGCATGCCACAAATATGAAATAGCCTTTTTACAATAAGGCCTAGTTAATGCCCAGGCAAAACTTGGGGAGGTGTTGGGTTGGGAATTGGGGCAACTTTTTTATTTAAACAATTTGTATTAATTGCTGCACTATTTTTCCTTATATTGCATGCATGTGTAATAATAAGGAAAATGTGATTTATCAGTAAACATGTTAAATAGAACCAGGTACTTAATACTTTTTGTATCATTTCATTTGTATTTCAAACTTAGTAATGTTTCAGTAGCAGTTCTTGAAAACCTGCTTTTTGCTTCTTTTTTCAGCTTGATATAAAGTTAAGCATTAAGCGTCAAGATAATACTTAGAAGAATTTTTTAAAACAGGCAATGAAAAGTAATAGCATATTATTTTCACATTGGCTACCTGCATTTGTTCATTGAATTAAGTTTTGGTATGATCCTAAAATAAATAAATCATGTGTTATTTTTCTACTCTTCTCCATCACTGACCTTAACAAAGTTTGTTTTAACCTGAATTTGTAAGTGATCAGTGTCAGTAAAGTGAGAAGAAATGGGATTGGGGGAAAAGTATTACTCCATTGGTATTTTTTGGGTTCTCCTATTTTTGTCACCATGCATTGAATTTTATTTCACAATTAAATATTGATATGTGGAAAAAAGAAAAAAATGAAAAGAAAAAAATGGAAAAAGGTCTTAAGAATTGATGTAGCAATCTAGTTTTAGAGGGAAAAAAAAATCACATATCCAGTTTTATCTCCTTCCCCATTTATACATTTGCATTACAATTTTTTAAACTTTTGTGTGTAATCTGTTTTGTGATTTGGGAAAAATATATGTATTCCTGATTACATCTTAAATTCACCATGTTGCAATAGTGGAATACTGATTTTATGATCTATGCTGATTTCAAAATAATGTTTGAGTTTAATTACTTGCTTTCTTAATTTACCCAGTTAACATCCAGTTTAGTTCACAAAGCTTTAACTAGCATATCCTCTCTGAGTATTGGACACCAAAGCAAATGAACAGCCCATTTTGGCTGTTTTCAGACAAACAGTCTTGTTTTCCCTCTTTGTATAAGACAGAAATATGGCTTATAACATGTAATTAGTGGCCATGACTTTAAATTATTTTTTCCACATTCTTTAATTGAAGGCATTTAAATCTCAAAGCAAATAATTGCTTGAAATTAAGAGGAGGCATTTTCATCTTTCGAAAGTAATGTATGTTTAAACAGTATAAGCTAAAATGCTTATTCCTGTCAGAAATCATGTTTGATTTTGTTTGTAAAGAAAATTCAAATATGGGCTCGCAGAATCTTAAACATGTAAGTGGTCCAAAGGTAAGAACATTAAGTTACTAGATTGTGAATGAAACTGGTTAATGCACTAAACGTTTTGTGCCTTGGTCTAAAATTAATGAGTTCTGTGTAAAGGGGAAAAGAAAAAAATGAAACTGAGACCTTGTCGTTCAACATGCATAGTTAACATGATCCTGAACTGAACCATTTCAGGAATCTCAGTCTAATTAAACTGTTAAATCAGGCTGTAATAGTGACAGTTATGCCATTGCCAGATAATTCTGTAAGTAAAATTAGCTACAGGTTATTAGATTCTTTTAATAATTCTTCTTTGAAAATGTAATGATGGTTCCTGTGCTTTTTGTAAGTAGATGCCTTAAGCTGAATATGGTTTAGGGGATCACTTTTAATTCCAGGAAGGCAATGCTTTCCTCAACACTGTGATCTGATCTGTGATAAACCTGTCCTATCATACACAAATGGCTAATAAGCCAATTGAATACAAACTGAATGTACAAATCTTAGTGCTGGTGCTGAAATCTCTTCAGAGTTGTCATGAAAAAAAAGTTCATTGTTTAAAAGGTTTGCAAGCATCAAGTGTCAATCAAAACTGAAGATGAAACATTAATGAATGTTACAATTTCATGCATTTAATTTTACTTCTTTTTGAGTTTCTCAGTTAATTCTCTGCTATTTTTACCATATTGTGTCATTTTAAAATTTCTTAAATGCTAACGCTGTTTTGTTTGAGCAGAAGAAATAAAATTGCAATATATACGTGCTCTTATTATTGTTTGTGAAACTTCATGTTAGGGGGGGAGGGACTTACACCTCTTTTACATTACCTTTATTACCCTTTTGAATCCATAGCATATTAAAAGTACTACCTCAACTAAAAAGTTCATAATTCAACAGTGATGCTTAATGTTCATGTTGATGTTGCTTTTCCACATTGATTTCTTTTCACATTGTTAATCCTCTAAATGTATATCTAACTCCACAAAATCACTCATAAGAGTTTTGCTCTAGACCTTTGCCTTTGTTCAGATCTTCACAGTGAATTTCCTGGTTGTAATCCAATAATTTTCATCTTTTCCCCCCTCTTCTAGCATTTTGCTTTGTCAAGTTATTGTACACTTAAAATTGTTCTGGAAACAGGTTTCTAATAAAATTGTTTATCACATTAGATAATTCCATGTATATGATTTGACAAGATAGATCCTTATAAAAAGTGGCTGTTGTAAAAGGCCCTGTGCTTTTAAAACATTTTTTTCAAAAAAATTAAAAACACAACTGCATTAATAACAGAATTTAGAATTTCATTAATGAAATTTGATTATCATAGTGTGAAATAGAGAGCATGACAAAATTTCAGCAGAATAATGTGATGAAATGAGTACGTTCTAAAATTTTACATTGAAAAACTGAAACAATTTGTAGATTATTGACTAAGGATGAGTGTTACATATAATTGCTAAAATATTAAATGTGTATTGTATTTACAAAAGCAGAGCTTCAAAAGAAGAGATTGGACAGCCATTTGTCTGAAATGGTATAGGGTTTCCTGCCTGAGCAGGGGGCTGGACTAGATGACCTCCAAGGTCTCTTCCAACTTTATTATTATTATTGATCATTGCACAGTCAGCCAGATGTTCAGACTGGATTTGGCATTTTTGTCTACCTATCGAGCCCTTACCAAGGACCTGGGATAGGCAGATGTGGATGTTTGATGGTATTATTATTGTTATTGTTGTTATTATTTCTTCATTATTTTAATGAAAAGTAGTATAAAACATTATTTTTAAAAAAGATTTTTGCTAGATGCCTACTTGTGAATTGGCGGTAAGAGGGAAGGTGTCTTATATTCAGAAGTAAACAAGTAGCTGCACTAGAGGGAAGAAAATGGGGAAATTATTGTAGTATCATCTAATCATTCTTTTTTGGACCACTGGTCTAGGCACAAAACAGAAGGTGAGTGTTTACAGCAATAACTTCTATTGACTGATGCTGTTCATATAAATGCGGATTCTGGAAAATCAGGCTCCTCAATTGTTGAAGAGCCTCTATGCATGCAGAGAGTTTTTATGGTAAATAGTTTGTGTGGGGAGAAATGAGAATAAAGGAAGACTGGAACTCTGAATATAAGAGATATGGGCTAGAACTTTTTCCATGTTTAAAACTTTCCACTTGAGACAGATTGGCAGTTACAATGTTGTATGATGTTGGCATTTCATGTGATTATTTTTTTTTAAATTGAAATGTTAACTTATTGCCTATTACCTAATACTGTTTCCAACATTCCAGTAAAAACATTTTTCTCAACATATCCAAGCTTTTAATTGCTTTGAATACAATGTTCAAACATAAATTTTAAAACTCTTATCTTAAAATTTATTTAACCTGTTATAACAATAAATTCCATAGTCTTTCAGCAGTTTACAATTTCTCAAACAATCAAGAAATTAGGGGTCCTTGGTGCTCTCTGAGCTATTCTGTTTTCTTGCAGATGTTTCACTACCCAAACTAGGTTAACACCATCAGTGCACTGATGATTTACCTAGTTTGGGTAATGAAATGTCTGTAAGAAAACAGCAAAGCTCAGAGAGCACCAAGGACCATTCATTTCAACCCTGAACTACAAATATTCTCCTTTATTGGAATTAAGAAATTAAAAATCAGATGGCCCTGGTACCATAGGGCTAGCTTTGAAGTGGTTCAAAGAGAGCATTTAGTACAATTGTGTTAACAGCTTTTCTGAGGTTCCTATTCCAGGTACCAACCATGGCATCAACAAATCTCTAGTGAATTCAGTCACAAACATTTCCTAGTTTTCATAGAATCCAATTCGACACAAAAACTTTTAATGACAGGACATCCTAGACCTAGTTAGACCAATCTCCCTGCAGAGGTTATTCAATCATAACAATAGGGAAACCTGAGGTGTCCCCATTTACGGAATACTCCTCTGATAAAAACAAAATTATTGATAAGATATTCGTATTGTGTTGGCCCTGTTTCCAACTGGGACAGATGCATTGTCATTGCACAAACAAACCAATCCCAATGTGGATGTTAACATCGCTAAACATCATAACCATAGAGGTTTCCAGCACTAACTTCAAGGCCAGGAGAACTGTCAGTTCAATCAGGTATTCCATTACACAAGTATAGAGCTGATAGACAACAAAATCCCAAATCTATCTCCAACTGTGCAACCTCAGTGTGAACCAGGCCTCTCACAAGCACCCTGATAAGCTGTTTATATGGATCATAGTCACACTACTTCCTACAGAGTATCCAGGCAGGAGAAGGTGGACACATACTAGCTGTCTTATCTTCCGCGAACATATCTGTTAGAAAAATCAAGTAAACTTTCTGATCCACAATCAAATCCTAGATGACTTCTGCTTTATTTTGGACCAACCTGACATTGCAGAGGAGCAAAATTAAGTTCTTCAAAGTAACAGATATCCTCTATCTACGTACACTTGCACACAGATGCAAACAGACACAGAAAAATCTCTCAGCCCAGCACCAAAGTAAGAAAAACACTAGGAATGCTCCTGTTGCCACCCACCAGCCAGATTGGCTAGAGATGTTCTGAAGCAACAAGTAAGGCTTCACTTTGGCTACTTTGCAAAGCTCTATCTGCCACCAAGAAGTCAAGAGGAATTTGAATCCCTTCTCCTGTCCCAGCTGTTTCTGGCTCTCGCCCTGGACTTGGCCCTGTTTCTACACTCACAAACATGCACACCAACACCTTTCAATCCCCCCAAAGAATCTTCCCTGAATCCATGGGGATAGGAGCATTATGAGTCAGATTAGCCAACACTGAATACTGTGCTCAAGAGATTGTTAATGGATTAATATACTACTTTGAATCGTTATTATTTGCATAGATTTTTTCCTTCAAACCCACATGCCTGCAAATAAGAGCACAATGCAATAGGATTTATTAGACAGTAAATCTTGTTATTCTAAAGACTCTTTTGCTATTTCTCTCTAGCAAGCATAAACATTCGTTTCAAACAAAATCTCTTAACCTAGTTTCTATGTTAACATACATGGAATAAGATGGGCTAAAATGATTCATCCCTAGCATAATGTACTTCCCTTGGAATAGAGTGTGAAAGAAAGATTGCCATTCTCTATATCAGTGGTTCTCAACCTGTGGGTCGGGACCCCATTTGGGGTCGATCGACCATTTCACGGGGGTCGCCAAGCAAGGCTGTCTGCCATTTTTTTTGTCCGCCATTTTTTTCCCCTTTTCTGGCGGGTGCCTTACCTCTCTTGGGCTGGGCCAGCTGGTGGTCGGCCTGCTCCGTCTGCCGCTTGCCAGCTACGCCTCGGCCGGCGCAGGGGGCGGAACCACGCATGCGCGGCGCTCCTGGGTAGGGAAAGTCCTCGACTTACGACCGGTTGGGTAGTCCTCGACTTACGACCGGTTTAGTCCTTGACTTACGACCGGTTTAGTCCTCGACTTACGACCGGTTTAGTCCTCGACTTACGACCGGTTGGGGTCGCGGCATTAAAAAGGTTGAGAACCACTGCTCTATATCATGTAAGTAAAGAATTAATTAATTTTACAAATGTGATGTAATGCCTTAGATTGTAGGTAATTAATTTATAATATGTAGTGTCAACTATAGTATTTTTTAATTCCTTTTTTAAATATATAGTTTCTGGTTGTAAGTGTGTGTACAGATAGTCCTTGCTTAACAACTATAATTGGTCCCGGCAACTTGGCTGTTAAGCAGTACAGTTGTTAATTGAATATCTCATGACCACAACTGAGCTTATGATTTTATTTCAACTTTTCTTCAACTTTGGGTTACATCTTTCTGTAGACCCTTATAAGCACTGTACTAACAGACCAAACCTGTAAGATTAACCAGAACACATGGGAAATTCCAGTTTTTGAAAATCCTGCTATCTCCAAATTTCTAGCCTTCAGTGCAGTTTCCAAGCTTAATTTGACAAAAATGGAATGATGGCATATAAAGCAGAACATGAAATGAAAAGAAGGTGTAAGAAGACAAGAGGTATATGAAAAATTCGGTAAGCAGACGTATCCAGAATGTAAGAACCTAAGAAAGTATGCTTTTTTGAAAACCTTGTTTAAACTTTGTA